GGTTTCAGGTTTACTGTTTGGATAAAAGCTGTGAATTAATATTATAATTATTTTAAAAGAGCTGCTTGTATTTGTTTGTACATTAATGTTAGATATTTAAATAAATTGATTTAAATTTTAAATCTGAAATTCCTGTCTGAGTGTAATACCAGACTGATCCTGTAGGGGGCACTGCTCCACCAGAACCAGAGCAAAGACCCGGCTTCCAGTCCAGGTTCTGCTTTAAAATCATTTAAAAACATTCATTTTAGGATGATAAACATAAAAATTATGATTAACTTGAGTTTATTTTCTTCATCTGAATATTTCAGCAGTTTTTGTTACCACTTTACAGGAAGTGTTACTTTATAAATGACTAATAAATGAGGTAATAACTCAGTTATTAACCAGTTATAAAAACAGTTAAAGCTCAGTGGATAAAAATGGCAGAACATTAACTGAGTGTTTTACTCAAAATGATTGAGTTTAAGGCATTTTTGAGGTTTTAAAGAAGATTAGTTTTGGCGGCCATCTTGAATTGGTTGTAGACATTTGGCGGGAAATAATCCTGAAATAATGCGGCTCCTGATGATTGTCACGCTTTAGGACCTGGTTTGTCTCTGTCTCTCGGTCCAATGCTTTTTCACTTGTTTCCTCCAGAGTCCCAGAACCTGCCCAAACAGCCCCCCCTGATGTTGGCGCTGGGCCAGGCCACGGAGTGCGTTCAGCTCATGGGTCGGGTCCGCTCCGGGTCCTGCTCCTTCGCCAGAGTCGACTACTTCCTGCGCTAGCCCTCGCTCAGGTGAGAAAAAATAAAATAAAAATAAGTCTCTGTTATGAATCGTTGAACATTTATTAAAGAGCGACAGTGGTGGGCAAGGTAATCCGCTAACAGCTAACACCGAAGCTAACTTTTTGTTTAGTGGGTTAGCATTTAGCTGTTAGCAGACCAATTAGCTTCCACTAAATTTAGTTCAACTATATTTAATCAAAACAAAAACAACTAACCCATCACACGTGCAGAGTTACACGCCTGCGTCATGCGCCATGTGTGCGTAGCATCTTTAGCATCTTTAGCATTTTCCAGTTCAGCTGGTTTTGGTTTAAACTATATGAACTCTGACATTTCTGTGGGTAACGTTTATATGTTTAAATGACAGACATTAAGTTAGTGGTTAGCAGTTAGCCTCCACTAATTCTTTTAGTTGAGTGGTTTAACATTTGCTAAGCTAATATTTAAAATTAAGAAATGGCGGTTAGCAAAGTTACGTTTTTGGCTAGCTGTGCCCACCACTGGAGTGGGATGACTCTCAGCTACTACCACAGCAAATTAAAGCTCAGTATCTGTAAAACTACACTAAACGTCTTTTTGTGGCTGCTAAGTTTGATTAGCTGCGGCGGCCATCTTGAATCACTAAGTTAACAAGTCGCAGACACACAATGAATAAATGCTTTAATTAAAACCCGTCTCTTGTTCTGTGGGATATTTTGCTAACAGGCAGTCCTCTCTGATCCGCAGGTTTACGGCGCGCAGCACTGACAGGAGGCGTGTCCAGTTGTCACGGCGTTGGTGGGCGAGCATTCGTCTGATTGGCCGACGCACCGACAGAGAAGGGAGGAAGGCTTCCTATTTAATTTAGTATTATCAAATAAAGAAACGTGTGACACTATTTAAAGATTATTATTATCAATTTTTTTGTTTATTTTTTTAGTTATTTTTCTGTCGGTTTGTTGTGCTCATCCCAGACAAAAAAAAGAAAGTTTTTCTTGTTTTTTTTGTTTTGTTTTGTTTTGTTTTGTTTTGTTTTGTTTTTAACGGACAGACTCGGACTTGTTGCTTCCTGCTCGCAGTATCACACAGCGGGGTGTTTTTTCTATGCCGACCCTCGCACTGTCTGCCGTTTTTTAATTTAATTTAATTTTTTAAGCCAATCCTGAGGCAGATTAAATCAGATTTAATAAGAGCGAGGACACTCAGCGGGGGCTACAGGTGTTGTTGTTTGGAGCGCCTCGTTACTTCAGAGCTGGATTATTCCAGGAAGCAGAAAAAAAAAACGTGTTTTGTTTCTGAGTAAGAAGTTCTAAAATATTTTTGCGAACTGCGGCAGCGGTTTATTTGTCCAAGAGCAGGGTCCTAAAAAAAGAATCAGCGTAATTGGAGGTCCTCGGCGGTGGCAAACGCTAACCAGGAAGGAAGTGTTGGAGCCTTAATTTTACTGTAACGACCCACCAATCAGTGATGTGGGTGCAGGTGGCGGATCTCAGGCCCCGCCGCACCTTCGACACCTGCCTCCAGGCCCCGAGTCTAACACTATTATCATCTCCGCGCCGGCATAAAGAAAGTCGGTATCAAAGGCAGCCTAACAAGCTCGGTGTGCGCGCGTGGGAAAGTCAAGATTTCATTAGCGCGGCCCGACCCGCTGGGCGCTCACGCAGCTCCCACTGGAATTTCAAATAAAGAGGTGAAATCATGTGACAAACAGGCAGGGCTGTAATCTTCAGGTGCCCTCTGCGATGATTAAACCGCAGCCTTTCTGCCTCTGGAGGCTGTGAAAACCCAAGGCTTTGTTCCCCACGTCTGCATGAAACCTGCAAAAAGACAAAAGTTTCTTTGTTTTTTGTTTTAGTTTTTCTCAGTCACTCTGACTTTTATAAGTTCAAAAGCTCACTGACGGGGAGACAAGTCCCGGTCCAACACAGGGACACGTGGAGACAAACATTCATCCCAGGCTGGGACGCCAACCTGTAACCACTGCGCCCCCGTGACGCCCCTTTTTGTCCCCAAAATGCTTCAATTAAACGAATAAATCAGACAGAAACTGATGTTTTTGTAGCAATTTATTAAAAAAGATGAGAGGAAAACAACTAAACTTCTCTTTTTCTAACAATCTGAACTCTTTTCTTTTGTTAGATTCATTTTTTACTGCTAAAAGCAGATTTTCCTCACAAAAACAACCCACAAAGAGCAGGAAGTGGACTGTGAGACGCTCAGTGGTTCCAGGTTCTGCAAATAATTTGACTTGTAACAGTTTTTATAAAAAAAAAATAACATATTTTGTAAAATAAATGATAAATAAAATTTGTTTAAACTGCTTTTGTTTGGTTTGGAATCAGATCAGAAATGTTACAAAGCAGATCACTTAAAAGGATCAAATTTATACTTTATTTTTATTTTAAATATTAAAAGTTTCTGAGTCACATGTTTATGAAACACAAAAGCAGATACGTTTTTTATTTGTAGCTTTTTGTTGAGCAACGTACAGAAGACGATTAGGGCCACTGAAAAAATAAAATAAATTGCGTTTCCTGCGAAAATGCTGAAAACTGAAGCTGAAAGCTGCTGAAACTGAGCTGAAAATATTTAATAGAAAAATTGTTAATGTGAGCTCACTTTGAAAAGATGAAAGAAAAAAAGCCCAAACTTCGCAGAAAAACAGTAAAAATTACCACTAATCTGGTTGAAAACAACAGAAAACAGCTAAAATAGCTGAATGTAGCTGAAAACATCTGTAAGAAGCATAAATAACACAAATTAGCAGAAGAAAACACAAAGTAGAAAACATCAGAAGAACAGCAGAAAGAAGCAGAATTTTAACTTATACAGCAAAAAAAGCTAAAGTTAGAAAAAAAGTAGCTAAAATTTGCACATGAAAATGAAAAGGAGCATAACGAGCAAACTGTGTAAGGTTCTGTAAAGATTTAAAAACATTTTAAAGGAGTTTAAGGATGTTGAAAACTGCTCCGTTCATTTTCAATGGCAAAAAAGTGGCTAAAAAAGTGAAACAGCTGAAAAAGTATAAATAGCTGAAATACCAAAAGTCATACCATAAATGAGCTGAACGTTTTGATATGAATTGTTGAAATAGCAAAAAAACTGAGGAACGAATTAGATGCTGAAAAATGAACAGAATGCTGTGAGGCGTCACGCAATAATCCTGACTTAAATCTCAGAATTCTGAGTTTAAAGTCAGAATTATTATTATTTTTTTAGTGGCCCTGATCCTTTTTCCTTTCAACGTGTTGCCAGGGACTCAAAACTAAAGAAAAAAACAAAAACGTGATTTTCAACCTGGTTCTTTTCTTTTTCTGAAAAATACGTAGCTCCGCCCCCCAAAAAGAGAATCATGATCTGGAAATCATTTGCATAACGCTCACCATCTTTAACGCCAAAGTTTACCTCTTGGTTTCAGAAACGAGTCTCGGCTGCAAACAACAAATTTTAGCTCGTTATAAAGCTGACTGAGTTGTAGCTATTTGTGTCAGGTTCATGAGATATTTTGCTGACAAACACACCACCTTTCATAGCAGTGGGTGAGTAAAGGCTGCTCCGTACTCCTGTTTTGTTCTTACATCTGTTACATGATTGGTCAGAAATTTATTTAATCGCACATTGTTCCTGTTCCTGTTCCCGTCACCTCGAATGAACGACAGTTTTATCGTTTTTTGTGAACTTTTGTGACTCAGATGTTGCGTCGTTTCAAACTCATGTTTTCAAACCTGTGGTTAAAACTTTACGCTCATTAAAGTTGTTTTAAAACAGGCTGCAAATGAATGAAGAAGGGGAGTGTATTTCATGTTTCACTGCCCCCTGCTGGTTGTTCTAGGTATTTATGAAACTTTCTCATTGGCTTTGGTTTTCAGACAGAGGAGGCTGCTTATTTCTTCTTTTCTTTTCTTTTTTTTACACTCTTTTACAAAACGCTGCAAATTCATTTAAACCTGAAGGATGATTTCAATTTGTTTTAATTTTCTGGTGAAAACATTTAGTGAAGTCACAGCTGAAAAGACGAGCTCGGTCTGATTTAATTGTTATTTTTAATTTAAGATGTGTCGACTTCTCAGTCAGAGGCTCCTGTGGTTTTATTAGAACTTGATTTTAAGCGATTTGTTCTTCATCAGTCTGAAACTGGTCTCCTCGTCTTCTGTTATTGACAGGAAACTTGTTTTTCTGCTTGTAAACATGAAAACTGTTGTCTCCAAACGGCTGGAGGTTGTCAGACTCTGTCCTGAAAAAGTCCCGTAGATACGCACTGAAGATGTCAAACTTTCTACCAGAACAGTTTTTAACCTCCCCTCTTCATGATGAGGGGCTTCCTCCTCTTCCTCAGCTGTAAAAAAACCCTTCTGTTACAAACTGACCTGTTACACCTGCAACGTGTCCCACTTGGCCATTCGTGTCCGAGTCCCTGCGCCGGTTCCTTCTTGTTTTAGGGACGGGAGGCGTCCAGACAAGTTGTGTGAATTTCCTCCCAGGAAGCCACAGAAACTGAATCAGACGTGCACAAATACCACCTTTAATTTCTGCTCCTGACTTTTGAGTTTTAGAAGTTTAAAAAAAATGTAAATAAAATAAAAATAAAGAATTGTGACTCGAGTTTCCCTCTGCTTAGCATGACGTTTAAAACCTGTAAAAC